TATAGCACGGCAAAGGACGGGAAAACAAGGCGAGATTGAGTCCTGCTGCCCGTACGTGCTTACACCATGACTTTTTTGAATGTATCACCTTGCCAGCTCCCTGTCCGTTGTCCAGTGTCAATTGATTGTGTTAGTTGCCCGCTTTTCTCACAAGTCAAATGACATCTTTTCCCAGTCAAAAGAGTCAGATGCCTCTTTTCCTGCACCTTTGGGGGCTTAACATCAAATATTATTCCAGACCACATCTGAAACAGGTTCTTGGGAGTCTGGAACTCAAAGGAAACAACTTTTTCATCCTTTGACACAAACAAGAATTGTGTGGATTTCATACTTAAAAACGAGGATGATTCATAGCCTTGGCTTTAGAATGGCTGGGACTACTTTATCATTCTAGATCCACATCCATCTATTGAAGAGAATTCAATAGAACAGTGCATGCTGCATGTGTGAGCAGAATCCCAAGTACCCTAATTAAAGGCATGTCTTTGTGTTTCTTGGTATCTCACAGTCAGTTGTGACCCTGGATGGAGAGAAGCTAGTGCACGTACAGAAATGGGACGGCAAAGAGACAAACTTTGTGAGAGAAATAAAGGATGGCAAAATGGTAATGGTAAGTATAGAATACACTGAGCATTTGCATGCACTGCAAACACTCCTAACTTACCCTTATCTCAAGCTTTGTGAACAGTGTGACTTGGACACAAACTCAAAACTAATTGGTGGGGAACGCTAGCAGGGATTTCTAAAATGTTTAGTTTGGTTTGGTTAGTCTTGTTTTACTGACAATTAAAAAATTGCCAGTGGCTTAGGTAGCTCAGCCTGTGGATTTCCAGACTATATATGTTCTTTCTAGACTTTTGTGTAAATACCCAGGGAAAAAGTCCTGATGAGCTTGTAATGATAAAAGTTCTTGATTATATAGGAAGTTATCTGTTGCCAGTGGCAATTTAGAAACTTTAAAAACTTTTTATGTATGCACACATAAATAGTATTTACTTACACAGAACAAGTAGTTTCCTGTGAAAATAAAATTACAGTATTACAGGAGCTAATAAGTTTTTTTTTCATATTTAATAATAAAGGGTTTAGTCCTCCTGTCTAGTTAAAAGCCATGATAAACAGCAATTGTGTGGGGAACAGTCAGAGAAAATTCACCTGCCTTTCCTGACTTTTTAGGAACAAGACTATGGGCTTGATAATAAATGTTATTTTATAACATAATATATGAATAAATGTTATAAGTTACTATGGCTAATGTCCAGGATAGCACTTTCCATGGCACAGAGATGTAGCTTTCAAAAACAAAATGTCTTCAGCTGCACTAATCTGTCAGACTTTATTGTTGAAGATCAGTTATTTTGTTTCCTAATTATTTCAGAGAGTATCTGTGTGGATGAAGACTTACAATACTTTACAAACTTTACAAGCATAGTGAAACACAAGTGACAAGTGTTTCAAGGGAAAACACATGCTTTGCTTTTTGAAGCAGCTATGCATGAATCACACAGATATAGAAAATCTTGTCCTTTGGAATTTGAATACAATGAGGTGCCTTGTTCTACTACAGGAAATAGCTCCAGAATGCACACAGTAGTTGGTGTTCTGCACAACTGCAGTGACTAGAGTATTTGGTAGTTCTAGCTACACAGGGTACAGAATGTACCTTTTTAAGACAAGGCTCTCCTGGAGTTTATATTTATGCGTAATAATATAGAGGCCTTGTAATTTTACATTGCATATCTTAGTGGGATAAAGCTTGGGAAAATAAGTGTTAAGTCTGTATTAAAACAATGCTATATTTTAAGAAAATAAACAGAAAGTTAAATTTTTAACAGCTGCCTTGTAAAAAATGTGCATTGTGTTTCTTTGGTGTGAAAGCAGCAAGGAGAAAGCATCATTTCTTATGGGAATCATAGCTAAGGCTTGGCTTCTTGTTCATTTAAAATGTCAATGGTCTATTTTTTTTTTCTGTAAATTACATAATATAAGCCAACCTTATATGAAGCATGGACTTCATAATGTGTTAAACCATTACAGAAAATGGTTCAGCCTCTAACATTTGTCTTTTCCTTGGACTTGCAGACTCTCACCTTTGGTGACGTGGTTGCTGTTCGCCACTATGAGAAAGCATAGAATACACCCAGCTTCTGTCCAGATGTTACTTCTGCTGGATGGGTTAATGCCCTGTCCATGATTGATCGTAGCTAAAATGCACATTTCTTGCATGAAAGGTCAATAAAGATTTTTTTGTTGGGGGGGTGTTTTTTTATAAAAAAAGTTATGCCATCAAACTGGCATGCTTGTTCTGTATAGTGAAACAGTTTAAACTTGGCATTAAATTTCTGATACACTTGCCTCTCTTTTTTTTTTTTTCTTTTTTACAGTAAATGAAAAATATTTGAATAGTTTTGAAATGCAGATAAAACGAATTAAAACGTTTTTTAAACCTGTGTTCCTTTTGTATTTAATCAGCTAATGTATTGGTGTCCCGGAGGGAGGTATTCAGAGTTCCTTTTTCTGAGTTAAAAGGCCAGAGAACCATGTGGTACACAATGATGCAGCAACCTTTCTATGCAGTGTAGAATACTTGGGGAAATGAAAAATTGACTTTGGTGGCTTTTTTCTGGAAAAATACAAACTTAACTGTATTTATGTAGACAGAGAAGTGAGATGTTCACATAAGTTTCAGCTCTTCACTGGGAATTTGTTACTAAGTGCAGGTTAAGGTCAGTAGATTGACAGATGATGTTCCAGAGTTTGTAGAGTTTTGATTTTAATAGTTAGAGCTTTAAATTTGTTTTGATAGGTTTGGTGGGTTTTTGGTTCTTTTTTTGCTAATATGCAAATATTAGAGTCTTTCACAGGGTGGGAGGAAAGGGTAAAGATCATAACTCCCTTACATCAGTCTCCACAGGAATGGGAGGAAAACAGTACAACATGAACCTACTGCACTTCCCTCAGAGCTGTTGTTTCATAGCTAATATGTACAAGAGATAACAATTTGCACTGTGAGCAATTTAAAATAAAATGCTTCTTAAATGAGAAATTGAAACCTTATTCCTGAACAATATATTCCTATAAGGCCAGAGTGGGGAAAACTGCTGTATGCTTAGGAAAATTGAAACAGATTTTTAGCAGCATGGAGGAAATTGTTTGGAGAGTCCATGTTTTCTACACACTGACTCAGAGAACTACACAGAGGTGTAGCTACCTACAGCCTTGTAAACAAAGGCAAAGCTGAGCTGTGGATTTAGCTGGTCATTGCTCTGTGAGTGGTATGTGTGGCTGCAGCCAGAAGTGCAGGAGGGGCATCTTGCCCAACTTCCCAGGCCTCATCCTTCAGATCTGACATGCGATAATGTGAAGAGGCTTCTTGCTTCCCTGGATGGATAGAATAACATGGGTAACTCACCTGACAAAAGTCCACATGTAACTGGCACCTACCCCACACAAACATAAAATTCAGTACTGTTAATTTTTTCACAAATGACAGTTTGAAAGGAATATTGAAGTCTGTTTTCTCTTGTGGTAGAACATTGTACATCTAGAAAACAGAGCCCTTTATAAAAAGCTTTTATAAATATGTTTTATATGGTGGACAGTCTTTAAAATCTAAGAGCTATCTTTTTTTAATCAGAGAAATGAAAAGTAGAATGTGATCGAGTGGTATGGGGAACTCCAATTGCTATGCTTTGGGCTATTTCACTGGTATAGTGCAAGTTATTTTTAAGCAGCATCTTCTGCCCTTTGGTTTTATCAATCTATTTAATCCTCAGCTTCAGTACCTAAAACAGCCTTTATCGGCCTCTCCTCTGCTGCTGCCTGCTTGCCTGTGGGTGCATTTGCCACATGACTGCCCTTACCAGCCACCTTTTCTCAGAAAGTTGGGAGCAGCTGCTTTTCCCTTTTCATTGGAGTAAACAGACTTGCTTTCCCAATACTGCCATTTATCTGCACAGCTAATGTTTTGTGGGGTCATGAATTAAAAAACCTAGGTGTTTGTTTGTTTTTCTTAAATACTAGGAAAGGAATGCAGAGGAAAATTATTAAGACTTGGTTTAGAAATAAACTCTGATTGGTAAATATAATGCATTACAGTCACTTTTAAACAAAGAAAAGTAACCCTTTAAATAAAAGCTACTTTTCCCTATTCTAAATATAAATTATATTGGTGTCAAATAAGGGAGAGAAAAGTGGTGCTTGTGAAATAAGTGACACTGCTCAGAGGAGTGGAAAAGAGACGATTATACTGACACAGAGGACTTCTTCCAGCTGCTGCTGACACAGCTTTGCAGAGCCGTGACAGGAACAGCAGTAAGCAATGGGACATTTCAGGGGAGCCACAGGATTGCATTATTACTGTGATCATCTCCTAAAACTGACGCCAAGTACTCTTCCTCTATATGAGACTACTCTGACTTCCATGAACAGCAGTTCTAAAATCTTTGGCAGCAGCGACTTGTATTTACAATATACCTCATCACTCCCCTTAAGCTTTATTAAAGGTGTACTTGACAGTATTTTCCATAGTGTTGGGTGTTTTTGGGATTTTGTTTTGTTTTGTTTTCTAAAGCCTTAAAAGTAATCGGAATCCATTTTTACATGTATGCCATGAGAAACCTTGCTTCCAAAAGACGCTTGAGACTGGCGCGGGGTGTAGAGCACAGCCGCCTTACATCAGCCGGTGCCCCGACTCCAGCCCTGCCCGAGGCCAGGCTTGGCTCCCGCGAGCTCCTTAGCGCCGAGCCGGGCGGGGGTGGCACCTCCTGAAGGTCACCGCGGGCACGGCCGGCTCAAGGCGGCAGCCCGAGTCCGACAGCGGGGTCGCGGACCGGGGCTGCTTCTGGCCCCGAGCGGTGCGGGCGGGGCGCGGTGGTTTCCGGCGGCCCCGCGGAGGGCCGGGGCTTGCACAAGCCGTCCGGGGCTCGCCTCTTTCCCGGCCGCCGGGGCGGTCACACGAGCAGCGCCGTCGGCGGGCCGGGCGCTCCCGCAGGGCCGACATGGAGCTGCGGGCGGTGCTCGGGCTGGCGCTGCTCTGCTCCGCGCTGGAGGCGGCGCCGGCCGGCCCGCAGCGGCCCCGCTCCGCCGTGGGTGAGTCGGCCGGGGGTCAGCGGCTGAAGGGCCGCCCGTGGAGGGCGGGGGAGGCGGCTGAGGGGCGGCCCGGCGAGGGAGGCCCGGCCGGGGGCCGCTGCCAGCCCGGCGGCGGAGGTGGGGGACGGGCTGCGCGGTCCCTTCTTGCGGTGGCCCTTCCCTCCCTCCGGCACCGCTCCTCGCACATAACCTGCTGCCGTAGCATTCCCTGTCCCAACTGGCTTCGGCCACACGTGACTGCTAGATCAGTCCACATGGCTCTTTTCAGGTACGGGGGGTTACACGGGGTTTATATTTAGTCGTCCCGGCAGGCCGGCGGGTGAGGTGGGGTGAGGTGAGGTGAGCCGAGCCCAGCCCTGCCCTGCCCTGCCCTGCCCTGCTCTGGCGCGGTATCCCGAGGCACGCACTGCAAACACCGAGTATGGGGGCTGTGCTGGGCTGTGCTGGGCTGTGCTGGCAGCAAACACACGCTCTGCCTGGCCTGATCCCCGCTCGGGGCGTGCGTGCAGGTGAAACCATGTAGAAATGGTTTCCCACAGAATTCTCATCCCATGTTACTCACACTTGCCTCGGGACAAGCACACAGCAGTGTCCCGGCGTTTGTCTCCTGTTGGTAGGCATCACAATTTTACAGATTTTGAAGATCACCTCTAGTCTTTGATTCCTGAAATAAAACTCTATGAGGTACAGCCGTGTGGTGCCTGCTCACCCATAGAGTGAGCGTGTGACCTTGGGAAAAATCAATTTATATCTGTCCCTATTTCACAATCACTGCCCCAGATACATGTGTGCCTTTACCAAGTGCTTTGAAACTGACAGAAAGAAATTACTCTAAAATTTACATGAAACTCGAAGGCTGATAGTCTAACACAGACTTTGTTCATCTTATTCTACATATTCTTATACTTCTCAGCTCCTTTATCCATGTAGTGCTATGTAACAGTGGCTGAGAGCATGTCAGCCTGGACAGTAGTGGGTAGGTAGGGCTAACACAATGCTCTGTGGTGAGAGGCCCAGTCTCTACACATGTGCTGTTTCTTGTCTTTCTTTCTAGACATCTTTCTTGTCATCTTTTAGAGTAGCTTCCAGCCAGGGAAAGTCTGGAAAAATAATTAAAATGAGGCTCCCTTTCTTTTCAAGTGGAATGGAGAAGTCCTATTGCCTCTACTATCCAGTTTCCAGATTGCTATTAATGGAAAGGAGGTGATTTTTCAGTTCCTTCCAATCTCCATTTTATTTTTAGTGAATAGCATATACCCGTGCCTCTGCTTCTGTTTCCAGATTTTCTAAGCAGTCTACATGAAGGACTCATCAGGAAGAACTTGCCCATACTTACCAGGCAGGCTAATCAGAAACCTATTAACTTTAAATAGGAGCTGTAGATAAACTGGAGTAAACTTGGCATTACCCTGGTATATCCAGTTCAAAAGCAAATAAAGAATTTCCTTTAATCTTTGTTTTCTGAAAACAGGGCAATTCTGGCATGTATCTGACCTACATTTAGATCCGACTTACCACATTACCCCTGATCGCACCAAAGTCTGTTCTTCTTCCAAAGGAGCCAATGCCTCCAACCCAGGCCCTTTTGGGGACTTTTTGTGTGATTCTCCTTATCAACTTATTTTGTCAGCATTTGCATTCATGAAGGATTCAAAAGAGCAGGTTTCATTCATGATTTGGACAGGGTAAGTGTTCAAGTCACTCTGCACTTAAAGCTGGATAGCCAAATAGTGTGACAACTCACAAGTTTGTATTTGCACCAACAGATTTAAGCTCAGTATCTCACAAATGCTAGTTGTTCCTTTAGTTGTCCAAATGGTGAAAGTGGAAGAGTGAGTGAGAACATAAGGCTTCAGGACAGATTTTGATCTCTGTAGTAACTGCTAGACTGTTCATTGTCATATTTAGCATAGGGCTATATTAGTGTGAGTTAATAAAAATGGTGCAGGGTGGGCGGGAAGTAAAAAATGCAAAAAGAAAGGTCAGGGCAGTAACTGACTCATTGCAAGCTTCTGTTGGGTAAGAACATTTACCTTTCCTGTTCCAGACTCTCAGAGATGTTACCTGTGAGGTTTTGTGTGCCTTAGCAGTGGGACTAGACAAAGAAGTGTGAAAGGGAGTAGCTTCATAGTACTATGCTATCAAGGCATAGTACTGTGTCTTGTTACTTCCTAGGTTTTCATAAAAGATAGCATTAACTTACCCTTCTGCCATAGCAGAACTCTCAGTTCTAACATCACACAGTTTTTTAAAGCATACATCGATGGATAATTTATCAAAGAGATTAGTATTTTTGATTGTGAGAACTAGTTTGTTTATGTTAAATCACTCATTTTTGCTGGGAAAGAGTGTTAAATATATGAAGGCAAGTGATTAATTTATTTCACTTACCTTATTGTACTTAATTTTCAACAGGATATTGTTAAAAGGGGAAAAAGAAACTAGCAATGATGTGCAGGTGATGAAAGATACAACACAAACTGCACAGTAGCTCAAAATGATGATTGATTTCTAAGAAAGCTTCATTATGATAAATATGAATCATAGGATAGACATTGTCTAAACAAGTCTACTTGTTCGTGTTTTTTTAAACAAAAGCCTTTGCAGAGAGCCTTTGATTCTGTGATTTTAATTAAGTTGTATAGTAGTGTTACATGCTAGAATGTAGATGTGTTAGCAGACTTTTTTGCCTTCCTTGTGTTGGTAACAAACCTTTGTTAATCAAAAATTTTCCTTTTTCAGAGATAGCCCTCCTCATGTTCCTGTAAAAGAGCTCTCAACGAAGTTGGTCATCAGCATCATTGGTAATCTGAGTTCTACAATTCGTAGTTTCTTTCCAGATCTTCAGGTTTTCCCAGCCTTAGGCAATCATGACTACTGGCCACAGGTAAAACAAGTTAGAAATTTGTTCATACATCATACTGAGTGTGTTTCTAACTCCTGGGAAAGCACGTATGAGAAATAATTATGTGTAACTGTTATTCTGGAGGCAGAATTCTACAGTTAGCAAATAATAGTATAAATAGTTCCACTTTAGAACAGAAACTACATGACTCTCTGTGCACTTACCTAGGGAAACCCTGACCCTGGGTACAATCTGTACATGGCCTGAGGTCACACGAATTTACTACTAATCATTCCTCATGGCTTAGAACCACCATGTGTCAATGTAGTTAATACACACATACTTTTCCTTACTGTGTTATGTGTCATGTCATGCATGGGTATACAGTAACTTAATCTAGCAGAAGTGACATCAATAATGGACCTGTGAGCCTGCGGTAAGTTTCAAAGCCTACTGAAAGGCCTACTGGAAATCTGTCAGCTAGCATCACTAGATTTTTTTTTTGTTGTTTTTTAGCTAAAATAATAATGGCTGAGTTTTTGTAACGTTCCCATAGTTTTGCCACTACTAATAAAAATATGTCTTCTTTCCTCATTGGACATTTAGAAATAATCACATTGATGATTCACTAGTTATGTGCAGCTGAGGATGGTGCTTTTTCACTTTGACTGTGCTGAATATTGTTCTTGGCATGCTCAAAAGTAAACAGTTGCTTCATTTGTCCTTTAAAGTGTTTTGTGGGTCGATCTGGCAGCACACTGGATCAGAAGCAAATGCTGTCATTGGATGTGAGGATATTGGAAGGGATGTGAAGCAGGTCAGCTGAAGTATTTTGTTTGAAATTCCTCATGGGAATTCAGTAACACCCCTTCACACCCTCAAGGCTTGTATTCCAGCTTTCTGTGGTGTTTTTTAGGCCTGTCAGGGTGTAGGTTGGTGCAGCAGGTGATTGTGTGATTGTCAGTGTCATTGCTGGAGTAGTTTCCTAATTGGGGCATAGCAGAGGTGCTGAGAGACATGGCAAAGGAAACGTGAGAGACAAAGTAATAGCTAGATGTATATTGGAAGTGTGAGTGCACAAACCAAACTGTGACTTCAGTCCTTTGTGTTCTTACTGTGGTAGTAAAGCTTCAGCTTTTCATATGCACTGGCATGGGGACAGGTTGATTCACTAGAAAACACTGGGAAAGTATTAAATAACACCTTAACTGAAGTGTCACAGAGTGTTTTGTGTTCACTTTGTTTCATTTTTAAAAATGTCTTAGTAGAGAATTCTTATTCAGCAATCTCATCTGATAGAGGAAAAAAAACCTAAAAAAACCTTGTAAACAAAGAATACAGGGACTTTTTCAACAAATATGAATTTTGTTTGTGAAATTAAATCTGGAGACAGAAAGAAAAGATGCTCAGGAGGGGCAGATGGGCAGCAAATAGAAAATTGAAACAAGCTGGTGATAGGAATAACTGGTGATTGTTGTTAGTTCTCCCTGCACAAAACCATTCAGGAGTGTTTCTGTGATACTTTGAAATGGCATGTTTCACCAATGTGCAGAACTGGCATGCTTTTCAGTTATTGTTTGAAAAAGACATGGGATCAAACAATCCCCACTATGGAGTTATTTCAACCTGTTCAATTTTTTAATGTTTGTTTTTTGCTCTTTATGACATTTTTTCTTTTTTTCATATGGGTGGGCTTGGCAAATATCCTATAGAGTGGAAGCGATATGGAGCAAGCCACACACCGTAGGCTGTTCCAAATCAAGTGTAAAAGCTGTGCACACACTGCAAACCAAAGAATTTTATTGCTCTTTTGTGTTCTGAGCTGTCTGTCTTAACAACTGAACAATCCTGGGTGATTTTTCTTGAAGAACCTGTTAAAAATACTACTCAGGTTAATCAAGCATTGGCATACTTTTCAGATCATATATTGTAACCTTGGCCTTACTGCATAGTCTTACTTGTTTCACACCCTTGCTCCTGTTTAAAACAAGTCCCCAAACTGCTTATAGCAGTTCAGAGAACACTGACTTGCCTGGGGCCAGAGCACCTTCAGTCCATAACATGGCCTCTTATCTAGAATCAGGTTTTTGCTGCGTCTGTTAGTAACTGTTAGCCCTGGCTCAAAGCTGTCCTAACAGCACATGTCTGGGCACTGCAATCAACAAATGCCTCAACAGACGTCTGGTTGCTCTGCTCCTAGACAGAGATTTACTGCCTAAACCTCTAATAACATAAAAGGTCAGATTTGACCTTTAGAAAGGTCAAATTTTATGTTTAAGAAAACATGCACTGCAATTTTTTCAATCCCTGGGTTTTCTCCTTCTAGCACCAAGACTCCAGATGTTTTAGGAAAGGCAAGGACAGGCAGGTATCTTCCTGTCAAGGTTAGATCAGAGCATGGGTCTCATCAGACTGAAGAGTGCTACAGCCCTAATTACAGTCAGTGGGAGAAAACATTGACAAAACTTTCCCTTGTACATTTTAAAATGTTTTCTTACAAGAAAAAAAAGGACATCCTGAAAACATTTGTGAATTTCACCAGAATGTTTCTGAGGGCCAAAGAGTTTTGGGGAGCTGCTATGAAACCCAAGTTACTTGAAGAAGAAACTTATTTTCGTCCAAAATACTTTATTTTTAGACTTTGATTTGACAGTTGATGCATGTATTAATTTTGCAGAATGTATGGTTTTCCATTCTACTGTATTCTTAAGGCTTGACGTATTTCTGGCATTAGTTTAATAATGCATTAACAATGCCATGCAATCAGTTCTAAGTTTAGGCATTTTTTCCTGATCAGCCACACTGGATATTCAGCAGTTGTTTTTTTATCTTTCTTGAATTCCTCCTGGTGATGAGTGGATACACTTACGTTTTATGCAAGAGGTCAGGCAGGTTTTTTGTCTGTGTGTCTGAATACTAAGACTTAGGCAGGTTCTCTCTTACAGGACCAGCTTCCTGTAACTACCAGTGAAGTTTACAATGCTGTAGCAGATTTCTGGAAACCTTGGCTAAGTGATGAAGCAATCAATACCTTCAGAAAAGGTAAAGTATGGCAATAATACATTGTGAAGCTAGGGCTTAGAAAATTAATGTTTCTGTGGATTTGTCCTGTTTGTTTAGCTAAGTCTCATAGGATGAGTCAGAACAATGGATTATCTATAATGCTGCTCCTGGAAGAAGTTACTTATCTTTTTGAATGGCAATGCCTATATTCAGAATACATTTATTACTTTCTGATGCAATATTTATCACTTCTTGTAACATGTTTAGTGTTACTGACTTTGAACCAATGCATGTGAAATATCTTTCTGCTTTCGAGACCTCATAATGCTTTTTAGATGAGGGTGCATGACGCACACGAAACTTTACTTTGATGGGAAAAAAACTGTTAAAATGCTGTTTCTGTTTTAATGGCATATGCATTTCAGAGCACACTGAATAGGTACATTTTTATTCAGGTTATGATGGCACATAGCTTTGGTGATTATGCCATTAATATTTGTGTGCACCTTACTAAACTGGCAGAATAATTATATCCTAATGAGAATTTTTCTTTTTAGCAAACAACTGAAATGTTCAATCCAATTTCCAATCCACTCAAACATTAGGGATTTGGAAGTTACATTTGTGTTTTTGTGTCCTGAATGAAAGCAAACTCTGGATAATAGTGGAAGTAGAAACTCGAATGAGGGTAATAAAACTCAAAGAGGCAGACCTTAAGTTAAATTATATTGTTATTCTTCTGTTGCCATGGCTCCATTGAAGTCCAGGAACTATGAATTTATATCTATTGAAGAAGCTCAGCATGCCATGGAGAATTTTTGGAGCAAGGTTTGAAAAATGTGATCCTTACTTTTCATCATATCATCAGTCTGAAGTTAAATGACTTCCAAAGTACAAGGCTACTAAGCTCAAACAGTTGTTCCTGAAGGAGCCTCTATGTTTGCGGTATTTCAAGAAGTATGGGCCTTTCACAACTACTGTGTCTGTCAATGTGGAAGAAATATTACAGGGCACTTTTTGCATGTCAGTTGGACAATTGCTTCTAAATACTGTCAAATAAACACTAAGATAATACAGGCAAGAATTCATAAATAATTCAGTGTCAACTTCTAGTAAAATGTGGCTGAAAACATTGTTAACAAGTTCTATTGTGATAAGGTGACTGTGGCTTGAATGAGCATGATATTCTGTTAGAAAGAGGAAAGTTGGGTATTTTGTCAGTGGTGTACTTTGATTGTAAAGTTGTGCTTTGAAACCTTTGTCATCTGATGTTGGTCTTATTTTCACAGGTGGCTTCTACACGCAGCTGTTTGAATCCAGTAATAGCCATCAACCACTCAGGATAATCAGTCTGAACACAAATTTGTATTACAGCCCCAACAAGGTAACTGTGAATATCACAGACCCAGCCAACCAGTTTGCCTGGCTAGAGGAAATACTTGAAACCTCTTCACAAAAGAAGGAAAAGGTAGGGATCTGGAACAGAAGCAATCATTATTTGTTTCAATTTTGAAAAAAATAAAAAAAAAAAGATGGAAGAAGTAGAAATAATGAGAGTATAAACACGCTTCTAGAAGAATAATGATAATGCTGCCAAAGATACTACAAAGTCAAAATTTTATTTTTTCATAATTCCTCCTTTAATATGCACATTTTACAGCAATAATTAATAAACTAGTTGAGTTAAGTTTCTCAAATTATATAGTAAAATACCTTTTCTTTCCTACCATGTAAAATATTGTAGAGGTCAGTTTGACCTTTTTACGCATAGCCTTTAATTTTAAAACATATGCTCTTGGCCTAAGACAAAAGCTAGCATATTTTATTTTCATTGTAATGTAAAGTATCAAAAATAGAAATTAGAAAAGAGTTTATCAGCCAAAAGATTTAGCCAAGCTGCAGTACTTGCTATCATTTGAGTGCTATAATAACTTTTCTTATAATACACAGATTTTGAAGTGAAGGTTTAAATTGTTGGCTCCTGATTGATTGATTGGCATGGGGATTGGATCATCATCTGAGCAAAAGTGTTTAATTGAATCATGTTTATGTTTTGCTACAGTGTTGCAATTTTAGAACATTATATTACACTCAGGAGAAAAGAGATATCCCTTTCTCAGGAGACCCTGCAGCATGTTAGTTGGTGTGTGCAGTTGGCACTAAGTATCTACCTCAGACAGAGGAGTTTTAACTAGTTATCCATGTTTCTGGTGACTCTCTGACTGTCTGGAGTAGACTGTAATACTCAAACATAAATTTTTTCTTCTGTGCTCTTGTTATGCCAAATTATAAGCCTTGCCATAGTAATTTATTTTTTTTTTTCATTTGAAGTAATTGATAACATTTTCCTTAGGCCTAAGACCATGCACAGATTTATTGGAACATTTTTTCTCCCCAATAATATACTAAACTGGTATTATGAATTCAGGTGATCTTACTGTTGGGATTTTATATTAAAAAACTGTCATGATTTACAGCTTTTAGAATGCCATTTTAAAATGCTTTAAATAAAGTGTTACTATGCAACTGTGGTAACCACTTCTAGGATACAGTTAAGATTTTAAGTTTCAAATTAAGGTGCTAATTGTGCTTTCTGTATTTAATTCCTTAGGTGTATATAATAGGTCATGTCCCAGTAGGATATTTGCCATATGCAAGGAACACTACAGCTGTCAGGGAGTATTACAATGAGAGGCTGGTAAAGATTTTTCGCAAATACAGTAGTGTTATTGCGGGCCAGTTTTTTGGACATACACATAGAGATAGTATCATGGTCCTCCTGGATGAAGAAGGTAATGATGCTTGTTGATTCCTGAACTTTTTCTTCCTGATTAATAGCAAATTAATACTTTCTTGCATGTTCTTTCTAGTCAGCCTGCGTTATAAATAATTGAAAAAAGGAAACTGGGATATACTGTCATGTATTACTTATCTCACACACTCCAATTTTATTTCCAAAGAGAACCTTGCAAGAGTGACTGTCTTTTTTTGTTGATGTCAGCAGAGACTCCCCAAGCTTCCTAACCTTTTTTTTTTTTTTTTAAATGAATGCTTATGCCTATTCAAGAATTTCTAGTCTTTCCTCTCTGCTCTCCCAGTGACATGGGCAAATTATACCAGCCAGTTGCTATTGTGTAATGTGTCAAAGGGAATGTTCTCAGGCCAGCGAGACATGCTCTATGTTCTTGTATTTCCTGCATCATTACTGTGCCTCTCTGCTGAGTTCCCTGCTGCTTCAAAGTTAATTAAGATAAGGGTAAGCAGGAGGTAGGGGAAAGAAAGTCTCTGCCTGTTGCATCTCTTAGATCAGCTAATTTCCCTTCAAGAAAATCACCCACGTTGAAATTTTTGTTTATTGCTTTGAAATCCCTTAGTTCTAAGCATGGGCATGGCCATATGGAGCACTCATAACATCTCTAACAGAAGAACTCTAACAGGTTTTGTCTTCATATTAGAACTGTAAGAGGTTACCCAAATGTTAAATGGCTCTTCATCTATGATTTATATAAACTCATATGAGCAATGTGCAAAATGCTGACTAGGTAACACTATTCCAAATTTTTACCTTTCACATGGTGGTAATCTCTAATAAAAAAGAATCCAGCCCAGTGAAAGAATTGGGCTTGCTTTATTTTTTTGTTGTTATTTTTATTATTATTTATTTTTTATTATTTATTTATTATTTTATTTTTTAAATTATGCTCAATGCAGTCTTATACCTATATTTTTCCACATTGTCCCATTTGTTCATGAAACCATCATCTCTACTGCAAATTTCACTGGGAACAGATTGATCTTCGTGTTTGTTGTTAAAGTTTGCATGTGCAAATAACTACTTCCCAATTATTTTAGTAATTTTGCATCTTTTGACAAAATTTAAATAGTAATCAAATACACATTGTTTGTCTGTACAGTTTTAAACTGTCTTCTATTCAGGATGTCTTCCTCTTGACAAAATTCCAGAGAATTCAAGACAAATGCAATATTGCAGCCAACACCAGTGTACTGAAATAGACCTCAGCTGTATTTTCTCCAGAAGAATCTACTGATTTTCAGACTTTCAGAACTTCTGCTTATATGTGGAGGCTGACCTTGTGATTTCACTGCTGTGACACTGCTTTCTTTTTGTTCCACTGAGAACTTCTCAATGTAGTCACCTGCACATTCTGTCTCAATAAAACTCACACACATCCTCATGGTTCAGTTGCTGTAAAGGTCAGTGTTCACACAGTAGATGCTGAGCTACTCAGGGTCAGGTGATGAAACAGACCCTGGTGTTTCTAATAACATCATAAATACATACAGCAACATGTAAAATACAGTATGGAATCAGAAACAGAAGTTTTTAAATATTTATTTAGTAGAAATATACAAAATACAGAGACTTTACATATAAGCAAGACCATTTTGCAGCTTTGGACAGACAGCTGAATTGGTTGGGAAGCCTCTAGTATAGACAGGCTTAAATATTACACACTGGAGTGGGTACTGTGATATTTCACATTGGGTTTGGTCTATCCATTGGAAGTATGGCAGTTCACAGTAGATACATCTAAATCAGGTGAAAAAATTTCTAATGTCTTTAAGCCTGTCACTCTTGGTTTTGCTGTGTTGGTACTCTACAAAAACATTTGTTTGAAAAAGAAATGATTGAAAGGAAACTGTCTCCTCAACTTCCCTTTTTCTGCAGAAAAGCCAGTCAATTCCTTGTTTGTGGCACCTGCTGTAACCCCAGTGAAGGATGTATGGCAAATAGAGTCCAATAACCCTGGTGTCAGATTGTATCAATATGATCTTTTTGACTATAGCTTGCTGGTAAGTAAAGATTTTAAAACATTATTTAAGACTTTATAGTGTCTGTAAAAATTACAGCAAGATTTCAGTCTTTGTAGTATTATGGCTGCTGGTGATGGAACTTAGGTGCCTACGCTTAGTTTTTCTTCCTGGGCATAGGAAAGGAAATCTGAAAGAGAACTTGGTTGCTCTTCCTGTGCCTGCAGAGCTCCACAGTATTTTCTGTTCTGTATTGAATATTCTTATGATGTAGAATCAAAGACAGAATTTTTCTGGGCAAAATCCTAAAACTGTTTGCAGGGATCTCTGCAATGCTGAAAGAGGTTCATCTGAATCTTGCATGCTTACATACCAATTTTGCTTTCTGGTGTTAAGCCTGAGTTTTGGGATGCAGCCCATGAAATGTTTCTAAAGGGTGTAAAAGGGCTGATGAAGAAAGCACTTTTAACCATAGAATGTTTTTTGTAATCATTCACTTTCCTATGTAGAGTTTTTGTAGGGAATATTAGATAAATTTAGAAGGAAAGTGAAAAGTGGAAGGCTTCTACTTTGTAGTTTCATGTGATTTTTGGAGATAAAGTGAATCCTGTGTAATTATTTTGGCTGTGAATGGTTTAGGCTTTCTCTCTGTAATTCAGGATAAAATCTTGACCCAGCCGAGTTCAGTGACAATGCACCCTTGCAGCTTGATTGGGACTGGGGTTTCTCTCTGGAGACCTATGCTAATTCAGGCTGCTCCTTTCTTGTTCAGATTTCACTCCTGCATCGACATCCCTCCTTTTCCTTAACTTCTCCCTGGGCCGTTCATTTTCTGTCCGTTCTGCCTCTCAAGTAGAGCCCACAGAAAGGAAACTTCTGGCTCTTTTGCCCCACTCCTAAAGCAGATATGAACATTGTGGAGTTTGGACAGGAAAGCCCTCTAAGATTGCCACTGCTGCCTTTGTGGCTCCTTTTTCTCCTCCTCCCCATCCCCCCACCATTACCGCTCTGCAAGTACCGGCTTTGGGTGTAAGCCCAGCGCTTGGGGTGGGACGTGACCTTCTATTCACATGTGAATAATGAGGAGTGACAGCTTCCTAATCAATATATCACTCCAGAGACTTAATGAAGCAGGGAAGAAAGCAATACAGCAGCGTCTATTTTTTTCTTTCTTTCTTCTTTTTCTTTTTTTTTTTTTTTTTAACTGTAGGATCTTTGGCAGTTTTACTTGGACCTCAGAGACGCCAACAAGAAAAATGAATCGAACTGGAAATTAGAATACATCCTGACTGAAACTTATGGCATTGAAGACTTGAAGCCAGAAAGCCTATATGAAATGGCCAAGCAGTTGTCTATGCCACACAGCACACTGTTTGAGCAGTATTACAGTAACTATATTGTGAATTATGACAAAACTATTCTCTGTGAAGAGGGGTGCAAGACCTGCCAAATATGCTCAATCCTCTATTTAGATTACTCCTCGTACACAGATTGCATCAATCAGGGGGCAATGTGGAGATGAAACCTCTGTGCAGTTAATGCAGATAGTGACTTTAGCCTGTGATTTAAAGAACCTGCTGCTTATTTCGCTCAAGCACTGACATGCTTGAGCCTGTGGAACTTCTCTACATTTCAGGGGAGAGGTAAAACTCCCTAGATCTTTCTTTTTGCAAATATGTTTTCCTTTATCATCTAAATAAAAATTTATTTGCTATGTAGTAGTGGCCAGATACTTTGCTTTGCCTCAAGTGTCCTGTACCCTCTGTAACAGGCATCCCATTGTGTTGGAATAGAAGTTACTCAGGTCTTTGTAAATCCGAGTCTTATTTCTCAGGGTGTGTAAACACAGGCAATGCCATTTCAGGCTTGGGTTTTTTATGGGGGCAGGTTTCAACCAATGGCTGTCAAAATTTGCAAACTGAAGTCGGCAAAACCTGCATTTGCTGAGACTTGAGTGCAGTTATGTTGTTGATGCAATGCCAGTATTAGATATCTCTCTGTGCCAAGTTTTCCTTGTTAATCCCTGAAACCCATTTCTTAGGGGCATTTTCTAATGATGGCATAAAAGTGACTTAATGGAATACAAACCTCGATTCTGTAAATGCTTAATCTAATTTTTCAGAATATGTTTGCCCAGCACAGAGTGCTTTTTTCTTATAATAGAACTATGTACATTGATACAGCTGTCAAGGACTGTCCTGGTAAGAGATTTTGCAGCAGACCATATATCAGATTTAAATTGATCAACATCAGTAATTGGACTCAGCATATACATTGTCTGTGGCACAGGTAAACATTGACTTGTCTTGCTGTTTCTTAGGTTTTCTTTCTTCAGAGAACAGTCTAGTACTTAATGTGAAGTCTATCACATGTTCAAATTTACAATTGCAGAGATTGCTTTTTCCTCTTCTTATGGCTACATATGTTCACAAGATGATGCTATTAAGATAGCCCTTTATTGCTGTGTGTATAACCAAGAAGGACCTTTACCCATTTTTCTGCCACACAAAAAGCTATACTTTTGGAAACTTTGGTAATAAAATACAACACAGACCACGTTCTATATTATCCCTGAGTAAGGGGAGCTTTAGAAGTGGCTATGGAACAAATCCAATTGATGGGCTTTTTATAATGAGATTAAAGCCTTTACTGCAGCTGTTGAGGAACTTCCTGGGTTTGTTTCTACTCAAGCTTGAAATATTCAGCAGAAAATTTGCAGATAAATTTTTGGAGTCTGTGGCATCCACAACTGTAGATGCAGATACTTCAGATTTCTCATGCATCAGTCATCCACAGAGGAAATGGTTGGTTTGTTAAATTTGCCTTCAGAAACAAATCCTCCAGTGCACAGCAGGCAGTCATGTATTTTAAATTCGGTGCTTGGAGAAGATAATGGTGAGCATGTAAACTCTTTAGTTACCTGCTCTGCCTGGCCTGAAATGGATCTGGATATGTAAATAACCTAAATTAACGTGGGCGCTGTACAGACGGTGAGTGTACAGACTGTGAGGAAGTGCCATAAAGTTTCCGTTCTGAAAGCTGATGATTCCTGTGTGTTGTACATGTCCCTTGGTTGTGATTCTCATTGGTGTGTTTATTAAAAAAATGCCTGTTACCAGTACCCATTTCCCAAGGGAAGCAAGCAGAGTTGTGGGTGGATAGCATAAGGGCAATTGGAGCTGTAGGATAGCTGAGCTTCCTCCAATTTGCCAGATGGATTTTGTTCAGTTCAATCTTGAGCTTTCAAACATGATGTTTTTTTTCTGTGAGTTCTGTGGCTTCTATTGAAGCTTAATACCTACAAGACATCCTGGAAAATTATCTAGTTGTATTCTTCCATTACAGGCTTCTTTATTGCTAAACTTTAGGAAGAGCTGGACCATGTGGTGATTTGGCAGCTACAGAATTCTAGGAAGAGGGGTATGCTCTGATGGGATGTTGGGCATCCAGCTTACTAGATTACTTTTTTTTGGTGTCTGTGTGTCAGTAGATGACGTTCAATGAACATGAACAAATTAATGCCTCCAAATGTCTATATAGCAAGCTATGTTCCAGGCATACTGTTTTTTTGTTTTTTTTTTTTAATGTGGATTTCAATTGAAGCCAAGAGTTGAATGGCACCAGCCAAGGTGGTTTTTGTTTCAGACAGAGAGTTATAGCCACCAGGGTTACATTTAGCCAGGGTATATCCCCCAAGATACATCCTGTTATGCAGGCTGGCATTCTCTGCTTTTTCTGTATGTAACTATAGCCATGGAAGTGCAAGCATAACTGGACAAGAAAGATCCAGCTATATGTTTTACTGCATCATCTTGTAACTTGGAGGAAAACCAAGGAGAGAGCTTCCAGAGATGTTGCAGTTGAAAAAACATGACATAAATCACAGGAATAGCTTAGATAACTAGGCAGCATGCCTGGGTATAAGGGAAAATAGAGAGAGACTGATCTTTTTGTTTTGGGTTCCTACTTTATTCCTTCCTAGATCTGGGAATGTTCTACAAGAAAGTTATCCTGTGCTGACAGAACCTTTTCTAAGGAATCATGGAAAATGTCAAAGAAGCAGGACCTAATAATGTAGCTGACCCGTATAGACCAGATTCCCACTTCACTTTTCAGATGATATATTTATGGCCCCGTCTTGAAATGATGAATTAGGGGGAATATTTGTAAGGCTACAGTTGACAGAAAGACAAATTACACCACCTAGTGGAGTAAAAAGGTTTTATCTGCAGTCGAGCTAGAGGCATATAAACAAGGATTTCTCAAATATTCTAGGATTTAACTAGCTTTTGAAGGTAACTAGTTTCCAAAGGAAGTACTACTACTTCTTGGTAACAGTACTGCCACGTTCCACTTCTGGCTATTAAATGTTGCTGGCTTCTAGAGGCCATGTCACTTGATAGATCCTGAACCCTGTGGTAGGTACGGGTCTCAGCCCCGATCCAGGGAAGAACTGAATGGAATCCCACAGGGAATCCTGTGGAAGCTTATGTCTACATTAATAGCAACTGCAGCCTAGTAGGAGTGCCTTCTTTACCAGGAGTGCTGGTGCTGAGGAGCTGATCTGACTGCTGCACATTTCAGTAGCAGTTGAAGGATGTTAGATGTACCCTTGAAATGCAGCTGCAAGCTGCAGTTAGGTCTGAAAGAACACTCTCCAAGAGCACTCTGCAACATGAATAAAGGCATAGTAAGTGAGGATAATCAGTAAACTGTGTTCAAAAAGGTGTGTTTCTGGTCCAAACCAAAGTGAAGGTACATCCAGATGGACATGTTAATTGCTTTAGATTGCACTCATTAGCGTCTGGATGTGATCTCATCACTTCTATTGTTTTCACTTGTCAGCCTGAAGAAAAGAAATGACTGAAGGAGATGGGACTGGAGAATATGTGAGTAACATATTGTTAGTAAAGTTGATGAGTCTAAAACCAGCAGTAGGTAACTTAGTATGTGTATTCTTTTGTGATGAAATGGACAAATGATGAGCACACAGCATCTCCAAGGAGAAGTATCTGGTTTAATGCTGTATCTAAGTTCCCTCCATGGAAAAGCAATCTCAAGAAGGTAAATTGTTACATTGGTCTAAGAATAAAATAAAACTCGTGGAAATCCCTCTCATGCTCAGTAAAAAGGAGCTATGAAAATGTCCATGAAGAAAGGAACTTTCAAGATTGCTTTTCTTCCTTATTTTCCAAAAGCTGAAGACTAGGTGCTATATGTTTAGTACTAGAGCTTTCAATAAGAAAATACTGCTTTAGGTAATTCATCTGTCATCTGTCACCCTGGGTTTCTTGTTCTGCTGGAGGAACATCCTACCTAGGAATTCCACCAGTTCAGTTATTTCCTGGTCTGCAAAGAACCCTAGTGTAAGGTGAATATTGTTTTCCTACTGTGCGTGGAATATCACAACTGTAGGAACTAAAAAAAATAAAACATGTAGAGAAAAAATAACCAAAATTTTAAAGTACCCTATGTATGCTTAATTAGTTTCTGATGTTTGTGGGAATAATGACGCCATCATACTAAACACTGCTATTGTCCTACTGATCACCATATATGAATTCCTGCCAAAGCAGGTATCAGGAGAGTGGTCACATGTAGGATGGAACATGCAGTAAATTGGTAGATGACTGAAAATACAACAAGGGAATCAGCTTAGGAAATGCTGAAAGGAAAACTACTGGAAATGTGGCAGCCTGAGCCTCAGACACCTAGTGAAAGGAAAACTACTGGAAATGTGGAAGCCTGAGCCTCAAAGACCTAGTGAAAAGGCAGTGGAAAGAGCACAGCTTACAGATGTGCCAAATGGCAGCTTTTCAAACTCAAATTACATATCCTTCAGTGATAGAGTTGCAGTTATAGAACATCTAGAAAATTGCTTCTATTTTCCTATTATACAAACCTGCATTTGTATAGAATTTAATCAGATTTTATCTGGACCTACCTACCTGTCAAATATGTTACAGCTAATTACTGAAATGTTCCCCCATCATGCCTTCTAGCTTGCACTGGATAAGAAAACTGGACACCATTCTCATACCCTATAAACTTTTTGGTGGGTTTTAAAGCAACCAGACGTCAGGAATAACTGAGCTGGAGAAGTTGCAAATGTGGACCTGGACAGAAAAAGTTTCTCCCATCCTAAAAAGCATCCTGAGATTTCAGTATTTGCCACTGGAATAAAACCAAGACTATGTCATGGTTTTCGGCAGGGAGAAATGCAAAGTGGGGATTTGCACCTGAGCCTGTCACCTTCCTCCTCAAGCATTTGCTGTGCATTGTCATGGTGTTGACTATGCTTTCTCCTTCTACCCTGGAGCTATAAAGCTATCTAAATTAAAATTTCCATTGGAACTGTTAGGCTTATCTAAAAATTTGTGATAGAGATGCAGCGTTTTCCACTGAAACTGTTAAGCAATTCTCAAAACTTCTCCCGCATGCTATAATGTTTGATGCCTTGCCTATCCAACAGAGTACATGCCAATAAAGCTGCAGCAACTTTATTAGTCTTGAATAGTCTAAGTTTTTTGATATTTTGTGCAGATCAGATGATCAGCTGGTAAATACAGACTTCAGGGCACTGAAATTAGTAAAGCGATGAATTAATAAAGAAATGAATAATTTTACTTGAGATTCAGGAATGGGTTTTCAAATATATTCTGTGTTGCATAATGCAGTCTTTCCTGGAACTGAATAAGCAGACTCAGGTAGCAGTGGA